ACAACAAAAAAGGTTGAATCATGTCATCTGGACTTCGTTTTTTTGTTTTTAACAAAAAAACGAAGTCCAGATGACATGATTCAACCTTTTTTGTTGTTATATACCTGGATGACTGAGAAAACAAACTTTGTGTATGGGCACTCCTGTTCTAAACTATGTAGAGAATTTAACACTCCCTGTAGTTTTAAAATAAACAGTCCATCTTAGAGGATCCAGTGTTTTCTTAGCATCTTTCTGATTAGGGCTTGTATTTCATGTTGGTTTATCTGTTTGTACTTTGTAAAAATGTATCTACTATTATCAGTCTGGTTCAACAGAACTAAATTCGTAGTACAGTCCCAGATCAGTAAGATCCAGTCCTCAGGAGGACTGAAGACCTGAGGTCATGCAAGTCATCCAGGAAAACTCACTTCCGAGATGATGGGGACGCCCATGTGGGCCATGTTGGAGATGATGTCACTGTCCTCAGGTGGGATGTTGGCATGCTGGAGGAGCTTGCACAAGTTCTCCTCAGTCACACCTGACACACACATGGAGAGATAGACACACAGACACATGAAAGTGCACACATGCGACACAAACATGCATGATGAGAGCATGCACATTCACAGAAGCAGCTCATGCAGATTTCAGACAGTACTTCAGTAAATAAAACTAGAATGTTCTGGGAGAAACTTTGTGGGACTGCCACGTTGTGGTCATGTTAATTTTTTTGATTTTACAGTGCTATATGTTGTGCATTTCTCTCAGCTACCACCACATCAAATTTCAGCTTAATATCTCTAAAAATGGCTGATTTTAAGTATTTTTTTCTTTTTAGCTCAGGTGGCCATCTTTAATTTCAATGTGCATTAGGAATTTATAACAACTCACTCTCAGCTAGCTATGGCCAAGCCAAATTTCAGCTAAATATCTCAAAGAATTACTAAGTTATAGTCAATTTTGAGTTTTCTGAGGTAGCTGTAACAGCCATCTTGATCCATCATGGCTCCAAAAGTTAATCAGTGTTTTGTTCAGAGACCTTTTCAGTCTAGGTCATGTGACTTCACTGTGTCAGTGAAGCCTCCAGTATACTGCTGCGTACGTCCGTTCACGCGTATGTACGCGTGTACTGTACGCAGAGGGTTCAGTCTTTGTACTCCAGCGTACACCCCGAGCACCTGCAGAGCAGCTTCACAGACAAGGGGCGTTTACCTTCGGGACTAATTGAGGTCGCCGATTGGTCATTTGCTGACATGCCTACTGGATTGATTGACAGGTCGGAAAAAAGAAAAAAAACGTGAGCGCTGGCAGCCTCAGCCACGGCGGTGTTCTGTGTTTATATGTTGTTAATAAAAAAAAAAGTTTTTTAAACGGGGAGCGCTGGCTCTACAGCCCACACATCAGACCAGCACACCAGGAAATCTCCTGACCCTCCCGCAGCCATGCTGGACCTGAGTTTAATTCGCTTGTGACAAATTCTTTCATTTCTCACCATTTCAGTCATGGCATCAACGGAGGAGGAAGAGATCAATTGCCTCTTGGCAAAAAAAACAAAACAAAACAAAAGACCAGATCAGATATGAAGAAGGGGAATTTAATACATTGGTGTCGCATACAAAACAGTCCGTTGCTGGGCAGTTTATTGTGCGACACCGCGTACGCGTATGCTATCGTAAAAATTTAAGCTTTGCACGGACATGCCCTGGGGGGTACGCTCGTACCTCTGCGTACGTACGTGCGTACCTCTGCGTATGGATGTACGCAGCATACTGGGGGCTTTAGAGGCTGTGAAGAGTCTGTCAGTGTTTTCCAATGAGAAAAATGGCATTTTTGTTTGTGAATCACATCGCCATGGTAACTCAAAACACCAATAAAAGTAACAGCACACATCATGTGCCAAGCTGGTCGTTTTCATATAAAATTCGTGAGGGGACACATTACGGTTTGGGCCGCATTAAAGTTTGATAGAAAAGTAAGACCCTTTTGAGGTGGATAATAGTAAGACCCTTTTGAGGTAGATAATAATACGACCCTTTTGAGGTGGATAACAGTACGACCGTTTTCAGGTGGATAACTGTACGACCGTTTTCAGGTGGATAACAGTACGGCCGTTTTCAGGTGGATAACAGTACGACCGTTTTCAGGTGGATAATAGTACGACCGTTTTCAGGTGGATAATAGTACGACCGTTTTCAGGTGGATAATAGTACGACCGTTTTCAGGTGGATAATGATAGGTGACTGCCTGTTTAGGCAGTCCCCATAAATTCATATCAATTAAACCCAATGTTTGAATGGTTATCAGTGGTTGAAGTCATAGGCTTCGCAACCATTATATGTGAAGGGGACAAGTCCCCCTGCCCACATAAAAAAAAAAATAAAAAAAAAACATTCATTTGGACCGCCCCACTTTTACTATAAAACATTAGTTCAGTCTGCGCAGTTTCTCTTTCTTTGTGAACAAATCCATTCCACTTGATTAATAGGAGAATACTTGGGCCACCAAAACTCCACTCCAGGTTTTCCTGGTTACCTCCAACTCTAAACACAGCAGCTTGTTGCCACAGTCACAATATACGGTGGTCACGGAATATGGTGTAACACCTGCAGTGTTTCTGTGCGTCTCCTCCTGTCTCCGCATAAAATGCACACAGGTGGAGGAGATGGAGACACTTCTGTTACTCGCTCGCCAGTTTAGTATGCTTAGTGTGGGCAGTTGTTGACCAGGGGGTTGATCATAAACATATATTCATGTTAGAAGGATGCTTGAGAGGAGCTACATCTGTAGCATCTTAGCTTAGCAGTAACTGTGATGCTGTAGGTGTACGAGACGCTATGTGTTCAGGTGCATTAAAATTGAAATGTCTTTAAAACCCAACACCTTATTGTCCTCAAGCTTCATGAGAAATATCATTTAGATGAGTAGTGTTGAACACAAGTAAAAAAGTCCAGTGGTGATGGTTTTAATTTCTCTATAAAGACAAATAGTGCCGATCTGCCGCTGTGTATTAAAGTGTATTAAAGTTAAAATGTCTTTAAAACCCACAGCTGAATTAACACAAACTTGGTGAGAAACATGTTTTAAATGTGTGGAATTAAAGGAAATCTAGGTGAAATGTTGCTTTTTTGTACACTAGCGAACACTTTTTTTTTTTAACACGCCCATACACACACACCTACACACATCATTGTGTCCCCCCCACATTACGGATGCTTCTGACGCCCTTGGTTGAAGTACGCAGGAAAGGGGAAATGTTTTAGAGTACTGAATGATCTGACCATTCTTCATGAAGATGTAGAGCAGGATGATACGGATCTTGTCAAATACGCTGACGCTGGCATCCAGAAGAACGGGAACAATGAGCCTCATGGGGTCCTTGAGCTTCTCCCCCTCTGCATCTGTGCCTGTAGCCAGGTCCTTCAAACCAGGAGAAGACAGAAGGGTTCAAAGTTCAGTGTAAAGCTGCGCCCCAATAGAACCAGCAACGGTGTTACTCATCAGACCTGATGCAGTCAGACTGAGACTTCAGTCACTTGGTGGATTCTCAGAGGAAATGATTATAGTTGAGCCCCCCACTAAGTTTACAGGTCTGTTTTCATTTTGTACCCTAAGGTTAAGTCCTCTGCATTACTTCACTGCTCACTTTTCCCTGGACAGAAAACTGTAAACCACGTGTCAAACACATGTTAAATCTGGCCCTTGCTAACATTTCATCTGGCCCCAGATATAATATTTAAATGTAAAATTTGTAATAATTTTTGTTTATTATTAAAAAATTGAGCTTACTGTACTTAGTGCAGATTTATCATGACAGTAATTTGAAGTCAAAACCAGCCATTAGAGATCACAAGCCAGTGTAATTATTGTGCCATCCCCAAGCCTGGGTACATGGTGAGGGATGTGTCAGGAAGGGGATCTGACAAAATGCTTTTACCAAAACTAATATGCAACACCATACTGGATCGGTCGAGGTCAGGGTTAAAAACAACCGCCACGGGTGCTGTTGACAAACAGGGTGCCAGGGGAAATTGTGCTACTGTTAGTCGAAGACCACGAGGAGGGAAAAGTGTCAGGAGACAGAGGGAGAAAAGAAAAGTCAAGAATGTAGGGCTGAGGGTGGCGACTCTAAATGTGGGGATGACAGGTAAAGGTAGAGAGCTGGCTGACATAAAACATCTACCTTCCTTCTCTGTATCATGTGGCCAAGAGACCCAAGTGGAATGGCAGCAAGGCTGACAGCATTGGAGCAGGGTGTAAACTGTTTTACTGAAGGAGGAGTGCGCAAAGAATGTAGTAGAGGTGAAAAGTGTCAGATAGGGTGATGTGTCTGAAAGAAGAAGTAGAAGGTATGATACTAAACATTGTCAGTGGTTATGCTCTACAGATTGGATGTAATGTGGAGGAGAAATATTAATTTTGGAAGGATCTGGATGAAGTGACAGAGCACTCTCAGGGAGGAGAGAGTGGTGATCAGAGCAGACCTGAATGTACATGTTGGTTAAGGAAACATAGGGGATGAGGAAGTGATGGGTAGGTTTGGTGTCAAGGAAAATAAACCCAGGAAGGAAAGATGGGGTGGATTTTGCCAAGAGAATGAAAATAGCTGTAGTCAACTTTCATACATTTTTTGGTCAAATGTTAAGGACAATTTCATTTCTGTGGCCGAGAACAAGAAGTCCAAGACATAATAAAAATCGTCTCCCAAGACACTATCTTATCTCTGCCCATGTACCATATGTTTGTGTGGTGGTACAGAGTGGTTAAAATTACAATTATGTGATTTACAAGGCACACCAGTTAGTAGATCTTACAAAAATACTTGTGACATCTGAGACAGGCTTGCAAATTTAGAAAACAATTAATTCCATTTTTATAAATACTTTTTAAATACAGTTTAAATACTTTAACAAACCAAATCATTTAAAAAAAGTTGACATGAGTGCTCAGGGACCACGCCCCAAACAATTTGTGGTGGAGAAGTCCAGTGAAGCAGCCACAGGCATCTGAAGACCATTAAGTGCAATAATCTGGAGGACCCAAACAGATATGGTCCTCCATAGAGCCAGAACACTGGTAATCTTCCACAGAGACAACAGTTGTAAACTCAGTGGAGACAAAACTGTAGAGACAAAGCAGCAGTGATCTTCCATAGAGACAAAGCAGCAGTGATCCCAACTTCAGCCAAGGACCTATAAAATTCAGTCAACTAATCGCCAACAGTACTAAATTTTAAGCTGACAATGAGTTGGGACTCAACTACTCACCTGCACACACACATGGAGACACACACATACACAGGAGGAGGAGGAAAGCAGCAAGCTTGGCCTTCATCCCACAAAAGCCAGAACAGCACGCATAACACGATCTGCTGCTCAGCCACAACCAAACCCCACACGGGTTGTGAGCCACGTAGTGGGAGCAGGAATTGGAAACCAAGGGCCAGAACAGGCATTGCTGCCTACTTTTATACTCCGCCCAATTAACAGGAAGTGACATTTCCCTAGCCAGGTATATTTCTATACTGCTACATTTGGGTTGATGAGGGCACTGGTTGAAATGTCTGCAGCTGGCTCCATGGACACCTGAACTTTATGAGCTTGGCTAAACTGATAAGAGTATAAAAGTGAGCGAATAACGCAGCTCGGGGCTCATTTCTGTGACATTTTCCATTAATATGCATTATGTATCTATGTTTGTAAGTTGTCTTGAATGGGTGCTTACAAGTAAAATGCAGGTTCAAAAAGCGTTCAATACAAAAACAACTAGACTTTATCTAAAAAAGTTAAATCTGGTCCTCTGGACATTCAAATAAAAAAACAAAAACAAAATGGAGACTGATGAAACAATGGTCTCTTTTGATGTCACATCACTCTTTAC